ATCTGTTGCAACCTTAAAGGATCGCCCACCACTACTTCCGGCAGCCCGTCTTCCAGCTCCAGGCGTAAGCGCACCATCTTTTCATCGGCTTTAAACTGAAGGGGATAAATGGCTTTTTTGACAACATGCCTTGGCTTGAACGGAATGTTTTCGAGGTGGAATTTCCCCGCTTTTATTTTTGAAAAATCAAGAATATCATTGATAATGGCCAGCAGGTGCCGGGCTGATTCCAGGATGCTCTCGGCATATTCCTTTTGCTCGGAAGTCTGTGTGGTGCTTAGCAGGAGATTGCTCATGCCCATGATGCCATTCATCGGTGTACGGATCTCGTGACTCATATTGGCGAGGAAAGCCTCTTGCGCCACGCGCGCACTCTCCGCAGCTCTGGTAGCCTTCAGCAGCTTAAATTCACTTTCCTTCCTTTCGGTAATATCAGTTGCCAGTCCGCAGATGTTCTGCACTTCTCCACGCTCGTCCAGCAGGGGAAATTTAATGATCCAGTAGTGATCTATCTGGCCATCGTGTACCATGGTGTCTTCCAGCGTCACCATGCTTTTGTACTGCAATACCTGCTTATCGGCCACCTGGTAGTTATCACGCCGCATCTGGTCGTTGAATACATCAACATCGCGATGCCCCAGTATATCTTCTGACCTCCGGCTCCATATCTCGCAGAATTTTTTATTCACGATCACGTACTTGCCCGTCCGATCTTTGATGTACACCGCAGAGGGAATATTATCTATGATGTCCTGCAATAGTTTTTGCTGCTGCTCCCGCAAATAGTTCATCTGCGACAGCTCTTCCTTCATCTTTTTTTCATTGTTGATGTCCCAGGCTACGATTTGTTGCTCTTCAATTTCGCCCTGCTCGGTGTACAAAGGAAAAACCCGGTACGCGATCCATTTCTCACCTTGTGTACGGTGCTGGATCTTTAGCTCCATATCCATAAAAGGTTTTGGATCGCGCTTCCACTCATCAATGGAAGGCACCGGTACATTGATCTCTTCATTCTGCAGCTCTTCTTTCCGGATACCCGTGAGCTGTTCGATATTAGAGCTCACAAATTCCACCTTTCTATCCTTGCCTATAATAGCCGTTGTAAACTGGGAGCTTTCAATGAGGCGCTTATACTTGGCTTCATGGGCCAATACCAGTCGCTCGGCTTCATTACGTTTCACGAGGTTTTTATAGATCTGGTACAAGCTGATAAACAGGAACAAACCCAATAGGGAGAAACTGACCAGCGAGAATAAGAAACGGCGTTCGCTATAATATTCATAGCTTTCTGTACGGCTGCTCAGCAGGTTATTTTCTACCCGGATCAGGATACCGATCGTGCTTTTAATGCTATCATCCAACGCCATCAGCCGGGCCATCTGATTTTCCTTTTTGTCCGGCTTATCCAGTAATTCAAATTTGCTGTAAACAAAGCCGGAAAGCTGATCCAGCCGTTTTGTCTGCTCTGCATTATCATGTAACAG